CATCCTACTCCTTGAGCCTCAGGCACCACCCCTATACTCATTTCTTAATAGTTTTGAAATGTACCATTGCATCATGCACATTAGGTAAGGTCCTCCCAAATACCCTCCCTCCTCCCATATCCCCTCCTCTCCCCTCTCTCTCCTCTTCCCTTCTACTTTCTGGACTATAGCTATGTTTTGCCATTCATATGAGTGTGTAGGTGGTTATATATTGATTTCATAGTAGTATTGAGTACATTGGATACTTTTTTTCCCATTCTTGAGATACTTTACTAAGAAGAATATGTTCCAGCTCCATCCAGGTAAACATAAAAGATGTGAAGTCTCTGTCCTTTTTTATGGCTACATAGTATTCCATGGTGTACATATACCACAATTTGTTAATCTATTCATGGGTAGATGGGCACTTGGGCTGTTTTCTTGTCTTGGCAATTATGAATTGGGCTGCAGTAAACATTCTGGTGCAAATGTCTTTGTTGTAAAATAATTTTTGATCATCTGGGTATATACCTAGTAGAGGAATTGCAGGATCGAATGGTAAGCCTACATTTAGTTCCTTGATAATTTTTCTATTTTTAGTAGAAATAGGATCTCACTCTTGCTCAGGCTGGTCTCAAACTCCTGAGCACAAGTGATCCATCTGTCTCAGTCTCCCAGAGTGCTAGGATTACAGGCGTGAGCCACTGCACCTGGCCTATTTCCCCATTTTATCCTTTGTCTATCATTTAGGCTGGAGCAGATATTCTTTAGAGTTGAGCCCACATACTTTCTCCTAGTGGCCCAGTGCACTCATAGGACCGCAAGGCTCAAGATCTGTAGGTTCAATGGTTTGACTTATATGCTACTCCTTACTGCTATCCTACAGAAGGAATCAAACCAAGTGACTGCCAGATGGAAGAGAGAGATGGGCTCCACTACATAACATTTAAACACAAGAACAGTGAAAATAACACAGACACAACTGAAAGACATGAAAAACTGGGGTAAATACTTGCAAGGATTTAATAAACCAAGGATGAATGTCCTCAATAAAAAATTTATGCAAATAAAGAAAAATTCAGGCCGGGGTGGTGGCTCATGCCTGTAATTCTAGCACGTTGGGAGGCTGAGACAGGAGGATCATGTGAGCCACCCACGAGTTTGAGGTTACAGTGAGCTATCATACCACTGCACTCTAGCCCAGATGGCCAGAGATCCTGTCTGAAAAAAAATAAAAATAAAAAAGATTTGTATAGCCAATTCACAGATGATATTCCAGTGGTTAACATATATAGTATTTGGGAAAAAATGTTCCACTGACCAGTGAGCAGAAATACAAATGAAAACAACATATTTTCACATATGAACTTTACAAAGGTGAGAAAAAGATAATATCGAGAGGAGACTTTGCATGTAGGAAAATAGGTACCACCATATAGCTGGTGCTGATGGCTGGAGTAATGGTTAGAGCATCTGCCAAGCATTCTGAAAGTGGTTCTAAAAAGCTGAGAAATGTTCATTCTCAGTCCACTAATTTCAATTCTAAGAATCTACCCCAGGAATGGACAGTGACATGGGGAATTTCTCATGAAATCATGTGAAGCAATAAAGGTAGTAAAATTATACATTTTGTAAAATTGTACATTTATGCATAAATTTTTCTCTGGGTGATTTTTGGGTAATCTTCTTTTATGGGTGGTTTTAGTCTTTTATATATTTTTATTTCTCGTATTTTCTATAGTGAGCATTAAAAAAATCAAGATTGGAGGGCAGTGCCTGTGGCTCAAAGGCCCCATATGCTGAAGGTGGCAGGTTCAAACCCAGCCCCGGCCAAAAACTGCAAAGAAAAAAAAATCAAGGTTGGAGGGTGGTGCCTGTGGTTCAGAGGAGTAGGGCCCATATACTGGAGGTAGCGGGTTCAAACCCAGCCCCAGCCAAAAACTGCAATAAATAAATAAATAAAAATTAAAAATAAATAAAAAATCAAGGGTGGTGAGCTCAAGTGCCCATAGCATAGTGGTTACGGTACTGGACACATGCACTGGGGCTGGTGGGTTCAAACCCAGCCCAGGCCAGCTAAGCAACAATGACAACTGCAACAACAACAAAAAATAGCCAGTTATTGTGGTGGGCACCTGTAGTCCCAGCTTCTAGGGAGGCTGAGGCAAGAGAATCACTTAAGCCCGAGTGTGAGGTTGCTGTGAGCTGTGATGCCAGGGCACTCTACCAGGGCAACATAGTGAGACTCTGTCTCAAAAAAAAAAAAAAAAAAATCTAGGGTGGTGACCAGGCACAGTGGCTCACACTTGTAATCCTAGTACTCTGGGAGGCCAAGGTGGGTGGATTGCTTGAGCTCAGGAGATCAAGATGAGCCTGAGCAAGAGTGAGACCCTGTCTCTAAAAATAATTGGGCATTGTGCTGGGCGCCTGTAGTCCCAGCCACTTGGGAGACTGAGGCAAGAGGATCTCTTGAGCCCAAGTGTTTGAGGTTGCTGCGAGCTATGACAATATCGTGGGCACTCTACCCAGGGTGACAGAGTGAGACTCTATCTCTAAAAAAACAAAAAACAAACAAACAGGGTGGTAATAATGAAGAAAATAAAGTTGCAGTAAAAAAAAGAAAAGGTGGGCAGCGCCTGTGGCTCAAAGGAGTAGGGCACTGGCCCCATACGTAGGAGGTGGCGGGTTCAAACCCAGCCCCAGCCAAAAACTGCAAAAAAAAAAAAAAAGAAAAAAAGGAAAAGGCCAGCTCATACCTGTGATCTTAGCACTCTAGGAGGCTGAGGCGGATGGATAGCCTGAACTCACAGGTTGGAGACCAGCATGAGCCAGGATGAGACTCGTCTCTAAAAATAGCTGGATGTTGTGGCGGGCGTCTGTAGTGCCAGCTACATAGGAGGCTGAGGCAAGGGAATTGCATGAGCCCAAGAGTTTGAGGTTGCTGTGAGCTATGATGCCACAGCATTCTACCAAGGGCAACAAAGTGAGACTCTGTCTCAAAAAAGAAAAGAAAAGAAAAAACAGGGGGAATAAAAAAACCTACAAAATAGTGGAACCAAACAAATCCAAAAATTAACTCTGAGGGCCAAAGCTTCAAATCTGTCACTTGACAACAATCAGTGAGAACGTATTAATATGTGTGTCAAACTCCTCTATAACTATGGTCCCCACCCTCTGGTCTGTGGACCAGTACCAGTTTGTGGCTTATTAGGAAGCAAGCCACACAGCAGGAGGTGGTGAGCCCTGGATGAGCAGGTGAAGCTTCATTTGCACCCCACTCACATTACCACCTCAGCTCCACCTCCTGTCCCATTCTCGGCCCCCTGCCATCCATGGAAAAATTGTCTTCCATGAAACTGGTCCTGGGTGCCAGAAAGGTTGGGCACCATGAGAGGATCTTAGGTGTGCCTTGAAAAATTTTAAGGACCATTAATTTATTTTTTAAAGAAGCTCAAAGCACAATAATTATATATTTTTAAACTTTTTTAAATCAACATAATTGAAGTGTATCACACAAGTTTATAGGTTCAAGTGTGCCATGAAGTAAAAGAGATTGAAAAACACTGCTTTATAAGGTTGAGGACAGAGGTCATCGGGCCACATGGCTATGGCCGGGCTGATTTTGTGGGTGAGATTACCCTGGCTCTTCACTGTAACTATCACTGAGCATAGCCTGTCCCTTGGTGGCACTCAGTTTCCTAATTTGTGCAATGGTATGCTGAGAGAGGGGTGAGACTATTCTCTGAGGGTTATGGCAGATATTAGGCTAAGTGGATAATTCTGTTCTTGAAGAAGTGTGTGAGTAGGCTGGGCATGGTGGCTCATGCCTGTAATCCTAGCATTCTGGGAGGCTGAGGCAGGAGGACTGCTTGAGGCCAGAAGTTTAAGACCAACTGGAGCAAGAGTGAGAAGCCATCTTTACAAAAACTAGAAATATTAGCTGGGCATGGTGATATATGCCTGTACTCTCAACTACTCAGGAGGCCGAGGAAGGAGGATTGCTTGAGTCTAGGAGTTGTTGGAGGTTGCCATGAGCTATGATGACACGATTGTACTCTAGCCAGGGTGACAAGGTGAGACCCTGTCTCAAAAAAAAAAAAAAAAGAAAAAGAATGTGACTGAGCACTATGATTTATAGGGTCAAGAGCTCAGCTCCTTGTTGGCTGAGGGACCACTGAACTTGACCTTATTATCTCTTCCTGACTACAGCACTGCCCTAGATTGTCCCTGCTTCTTGGCCACCCTCTCATCCTTGGTCAGTCCCTGGGCCCACTCAGTCAGGACTAGCTTGACTGCTCAAGCTTTATTGGTTCCAAGCCTGGAGGAGCAGAGACAGGGAAACTGTTCTTTGGAGCTGTTCAGTGGAGGCAGTAACTCAAGGCCATCGGAAAGCCCCACGTGCGCAGAGAGAGCAAATCTCCTCCCTCTTGGACTCTCTGGAATATCATAAGATGGTTTAGCTCTCATGACCCAGCTGTCCTGACTTTGGCTAAAGCCACTTCCTGGTATGGAGCAGCCCCTCCCCACCTGGCCACGCTCACCTGTGGGCTGACTGGAGTCCACCTCCCACATCTTCAGCCTCATCAGCTGCTGGTGATAAGGCCTCTTGTGCTCGGAGGCGTCCTTTCCCAGAACCTGGCAGTTTACCGTCACGCCACCTGGGTCCCTCAGGTGCCAGCGAGTCTTAGAGTCGTCCTTCCTGAGGTGCCTCCTCAAGGGTGGGGGTGAAGGCCTCGCTCCAACTGCCTCACAGCTGCTGGTCGCTCGGCATGAGGCAGATTCATTTTCCTCTACCTCAGGCATAAACTGAACAAGCTTTCAGGAAAGAAGCTGTGTGAGACTTCCCTACTCCCATCAGCTGCCCCAGAACCTCTGCCTCCCAACTGTGACGCCTGCAGCCTCACCCTGAATATCAGAACCAGTCTTGGTGACAGAGGCAGCTGCCCTGGGCATGGTGGGGCTGGTGGGGAAAGAAGTCCTCATCAGGCCTCCCTTCCTGACGTGGGCCTGTTTCTCCCTAGCAACCAGCAAATGTCTGCAAAGACAGCTTCTCTGAAGAGCCCTGTGTCCCACACAGAAGAGGCAGACAGAGCTCAGGAGCCCGGAGACCACAGGTGAGGACCCCATAGATACATACAGATTGGCGGGTGGGAAGAACTCAGGAGGTGACCTGTTAGAAAGGGAACTTTTGCAGTTCTGTGAGCTGGAGCTGCCTGGGCCCCTTCCTCCCACCCCTCAGGCCTGTCCCAGTGCGCTGGGACCTAGCAGAGCCCAGGCTTCTCAAGTTACCAGCCTCCTCCCTGCTCAGGGCAAAGGTTTGCATTTCAGTGCCACACCCCCTTCCCCAGCTTGGTAGCCTCCTCAGGTCAGGTGCATCTGTGCGGAGCTCCTCACTGCAGCAGCCACAGGCAGGAGGCTGCAAGGAGGGGAGTCCTGCTGGGATCATGGCCCATGGCCAGGCCCCAGAGCTGTGAGTCTGACACCTCCATCTCATCCACTCCCCATTCCTAGGCTGCCTGGTGTCTGCTTACCCCTTGTCCAAAGAAAAGGAAGAGGGTCTTTAACACGCAGGGGTGGGCAGCTCCTGAGCATCTTTGGGAGAGCAGGCTTACCTTCTGGGGGCGCTGCTCACCTCCTCTGGGATGGAGGGTTCTCAGCGACTCCACCCTGCATCCAGGAGAGTCCTTCCCCAGGCATGAGCTGTGTGCATGCTGGGCTTAGTGTTTGCTGTGTCCCCGAGAGAAGGGCCCTAGTCTCCTGTCTCTGCCCCAAGTTCTGGCTCAAAGCCCGGGCAGAATTGGCACTGAGGAGGCATGGGCAGGACTCAAGGGTTCCTTGTGCCTGGAATGGAATGTCTTCTTTGCAGTCTGCACTGGCCAGAAAGCTTGAAGGGTGAAGAGATAAAGAAGTGCAGCCGTGAGGGGGTAAGTGTGCGGAGGCTGCCTCCTCACTGTCCACCAAGGAATGGGCTCTGGGCTGCCTGAATTTCAGTGCAGGCCTGTAGCCAGAAAACCAGGAGAGCTGAGTGGGTGTCCCTTCCTTGAGAGGGGCGGTATATCCTCTTCCTGTCACAGGCTACCTGTCAGGCCCAGCATCACCAGGAGACAAGCTGTGCTTGGAACTCAGCCCTCCACACCCCGCTCTTTACTGACCGTTTCGTGCTAAATCCCCAGGACCGGGAAGGGTTGTGACATTATTTCCTGGTAGCTGGAGCAGGGCCCTTTGGGGGGTCTGATCTCCCAGGGCTTCTCAGACCCAGCCTGTGTGTTTGCAGACGCCACTGAGTAAATACGACCAGCAATACCACAAGCTGTTTAAGGACATCCCTTTGGAGGAGGCGGTTCTCAAAGGTGAGCTGTCTCCCTGGGGTAACTGAACAGGCTTAGGGGTCTGGGACCAGGTCCACTACTGCAGATCCTCCCAGGCACAATTTAAATATGAGAACTGGTTGACCTTTAGATATAGTTGGTCCTTTTTTCACCAAAAGTATGATAAGATTGAGCTGGTTTGCAATATGAAGTTGAATTTATAAAGATTTTTTTGAGGAAATGTCAGGGCTTCCAAATCCTATTTCTGTTCTGCTCTTATTAGTGACTGTTCTTCACTGTTCAGGCCTCTCCTGAGCATGTCAGGGATTTTGCACAGTCAAGGCAGGGCAGAGCAGAACAGTGTGAGGCGAAGGGTTCTGCGGACCCAGTATGGGCGACCAGGGCAGAACCTGTCTGGACCCCACAGGGTCTGGGAGGAGAAAGAAGAAACATCTAGCAGTCTGGAAGGGTGGAGTGGGGGCAGTCAGGAGAAGAAGCCTTAAAGTGCCAAGGACAGGGATGGTTTGGACCCTCAGATGGAGAGGGGAGAGTCTGATGAGAGAGGTCCTGAGGTTGGACTCTGGATTCCTGAGTGTGAAGACCCTGAGCTCCCCTGGCTGGCTTTGCTTATGGCAAATCTTTGCTTCTGTGACTTCCCAGTGTGCTCCTGTGCCCTCCAGAGGGACCTCCTTCTCCAGGGCCGACTCTACATCTCCCCCAACTGGCTCTGCTTCCATGCCAGCCTCTTTGGCAAGGATATCAAGGTAGTAATGAGTGGTAAGGGCTGCCATGACCCAGTGAGGCCCCAACCCCAGCCCAGGGAAGAGACAGCCTTCTGCCCTGTGGGCATGCCTCGAGTCCCCTCGGGGAAGCCTCTCACTGGTTGGATAAGAGCTTTGAGGCTTCTCATCCAGTGTCCAGGGAAGTAGTTCTTCCCCTTGGGAAACAGGGCCCTGATCACCACATTTGGCCTGAGCTGGCCTGAACAGTTCATAGCCAGATTATTCTGCCTCTGGGTATCTCAGGAAAGCCTTCAGAATCAGAGTGCGATGTCCCGTTTAGGAGGAATCACAACTGTGGCCAAGAAATAACCCCATTAGTAGAGTGTGGTATTACCTAAAGCAAGTACCTCTGCCTCCAGATACCAGGGACCATGCCTGGTGAGAGCGCTGAGTGGCCTGTGCTGTCCAGGCTGGGGCAGAGGGGGAACCTAGATGAGAAGGCAAATGGTTCAGATACTTCCCCCTAGGGAGCCAGGCATCTTTTTGGTGTCCATCCTTGGCTCACAGCCAGGATGTGGTCCTATAGCTGAGATCCTACACGGGAGCAAAGGGACTCTGTCCTTGGGGTTGAGTCCTGAGGAAAGCGTGCTTCTCCCTCTCAGGTGGTCATCCCTGTGGTGTCTGTACAAATGATCAAAAAACACAAGATGGCACGTCTCCTTCCCAATGGCCTGGCCATCACCACCAACACCAGCCAGAAGGTCTGTGAGTCTCTGGGCCAGCGCTGCCTTGTCAGTCTCCCCATCCTATCCCTGGAGTCCCCAGCCCAATTCAGGCAGTGTCCCAGGTCTTTCCTCCACTCCACCTTGCAGCTCTCCAGCGGGTATTTCAGGATATGTATTATAGCAAGCCGGGAGAGGGCTTCCTAGGTGGGGGTCTTGTGGAGCTGATATCCCTGTAGGCCTGGCCCCAATTTATAGAGGAGGCCTGCTGGCACACCAAGGGCTCTCACTCCACCTTTTCTGTTTTCTTTCCATGTCCCAGTATGTCTTTGTGTCACTGGTTTCCCGGGACAGTGTATATGACATGCTGCGGAGAGTCTGCACCCACCTGCAGGTAGGGTACACTGGGGTGGGAGCTGGGCAGGAGGCTGCTCAGGACTGGTCTCAGGTATTGGGGACAGGGGAGCTGAGGGAGGTCAGCCCATCTCTGCAGCACAGGGAGCAAGGGCAGGGACATGGGAGCGAAAGGGACCGAGGTGCTAGTTGTGAGCATGTCTTTTTGTGGCCAGTGGGTCCTTGTGTGTCCCCAGGTATAGATGTTCCTCTGCCTATGACAGGGTTATGTCTGATAAACCCATTGTAAGTTGAAAATATCCTAAGTCAAAAATGTATAGGATTAATATGGTTTGTCTAACCTGAACATTGCAGCTTAGCTTAGCCTGTCTTAAACGTGCTCAGGACACACACACTGGCCTACAGTTGGCCAAAATCATCTAACACAAAGCCTGTGTTATTGTAAAGTGTTGAATGTCTCATATAATCTATTGGATACTGTCCTGAAAGTGGAAAACAATGGTTGTATAGGTACTTGAAGTACAGTTTCTACTGACTGTGTATTGCTTTTTTTTTTTTAATTTTTTTTTTTAGAGACAGTCTCACTTTATTGCCCTTGGTAGAGTGCCATGGCGTCACAGCTCGCCACAACCTCCAACTCCTGGGCTTAGGTGATTCTCTTGCCTCAGCCTCCTGAGTAGCTGGAACTACAGGTGTCCGCCACAACGCCCAGCTATTTTTTTGTTGCAGTTTGGCCGGGGCCAGTTTGAACCTGCCACCCTCGGTATATGGGGCCAGCGCCCTAGCCACTGAGCAACAGGTGTTGCCCTGTGTATTGCTTTTATACCACGGTAAAGTTAAAACATCCTGGGTGAACCATCTTAAGTCAGGGACCCTGTGTGTGTGTGTGTGTGTGTGTGTGTGTGTGTGTGTGTGTGTGTGTTTGTGTGTATTCCCTCACTGTACTTCCTTAATGGACAAGCAGCATGTGGCTGCTTCCCACTGTGCCCTGCAACCCTCTCTGGCCCGTGGTAACGGGAGGGAATGGCAGCTGCATGGGAGAGCAAGGTGCCTAGGATTTGCTCTCTACTCCAGCATTAAACTGGGGCTCCCTGCAAACTTTGGGAGCTGGGTCTCACCTGACTCAAAGTAGCTTATTTGGAGGTAAAGCTGTCTTGGAGAGTGCCAGTGTTTCCCCACACCTGACTTACCCTGTTCCTTTTCCTCCTCAGCCTTCCAGCAAGAAGAGTCTGAGTGTGAGAAAGTTTCCAGAGAAAGCAGTGTGCAAGTCTCTGGTGAGAGCGGAGGGTGGGAGTGAAGGCTGCTGGCCTGAGAGTGCCCCTAGCTCTGAGGCATCAGGGTCTCCAAAGAGGGGCCCACAATGCACCACTGGGGCACAGTGGTCATGCTGTGCTGGGGCGCCCCTAAATCTGTCACTCTCACTCTCAATACCATGGTGAGCCACTAGGTCTTCAGTAGGTTCAATGACCTTCTGAGAACAGAAGTCCAGTCCCCCCAACACTGGCCAGGTGGAGTCCCACACCTGTACAGAGACAGGGCCAGTGATCCGTCCTCTTCCTTTGTGGCAGAGTCAGGAGAGCTTTCAAGAGGATAGAGATGGCTCTGGGAAAGAAAGAACTTCAAAGGCTATCATGAACCCACAAGGACTTATTTTAGGTTGGCCGAGGTCTCAGTAGTTTCCTTTGGTAGTTGTGGCCCTGGGTAGGCAGAGCTGAGTATCTAGGCTGGGGATACAGGTAGAAACACCCCGGGGTGTTTGAAGTCTCCTTCAGTAACTATTAAGCATTTAGCCAAGCATGCAATATGCATAATGCCATGCCAGGAACAGAAGGCAATGTTCCCATTTTTGTTCATGGGGACCGTAAGTTCCCTCTGTCAAGGTCAGTGACTTGTTCAGGGTTAGGGCCTGGAATAGAAGGAGCCATAACGTATCTTATCTAAGACACGTACACTAGCAGTCTTCAAAGACATTGTTTCCTGGTCGAGTGGTTAGTCACAGCAAGAAAGCAGACAGGAGAGCCATGTGGTGGCTGTGGCAACTGTCCCCCAGCCCCTTGTGCCTTCTTCCATTCCTGGCTAGGCATCTGTATGGGTAATACCTGGAGAAAGCTCTGGTAAACCTGGTGTGGGCAAGTGAGATCCCAAGGGCCAGGATAACACAGCTTCTCCTTCTTTTCTGCAGGAAGTCTTCATCCCAGAGATGAAGTGGAGGAAAGTGTGCCCTGCCTCCAAGTCCCTGTCCCTCCCAGACAACATCCGTCATATCCCTCAAGCATCCATGGACTCCACAGACAGAATCTTCCCCTCCAGAGAGCCCCCAAGTTCTGGTGAGTTCAGGGGCTTGGCCATGCCAACCACTTGCGAAGGCTGGACTTTTCCCAGTTCTGTGAAAAGGGCTCACAGCCAGCAGGGCTTCTTGCTGACCCTTTCTTTCTCCAAATCCATATGGAAAACTCAAGAGCACAAGCATCTTCAGAGGATGGGGGATCTGTGCCTGCCCCATGCCGGGCTGGGGTGCTGCCCACCCTAACGGTTCTCCCTTTGCAGAGAATGCCACCTGTGAGGAGGATGAGCTGGAGGAGGAGCCTGAGAGTGACAGGAAGCAGAGGCTCTGGGATTACCGGTTCTTCAAGATCTTCTTTGTGCTGTAGGTGACTCTGGGGGGGAGGGAGGGACCTGCCTGGGTGTCTAGGTGTTTGGACCAGAGGCTTTGGGGTATGGGGACTTCACTATCTAGGGCCAAGGGAATGTTCTGAGTCAAATTCAAACTTGTGGGTTGTGTCTGAAGGCCACATGGCACACCCTTTTCTAGCAAGAGAAAGCATCTCCAGTTTCATCAAACCCTTATGGGGTTAAGACTATAGGGTGGGGAGGGGCAAGATGTGGAGCAGGTGAGAGGAGGGGAAATTGTTGCCCAGGACTGGGGAGAGGGAGGGCTGGTGAACATGGGAGAGCCACCAGATAGCGGAAGGTAAATACTGACCAGGGACAAGCACAGCCTCCCCACTGCCCATCACTAGAGCAGTTTCTGGAACCTTTAACTTGTCTGTTCCCCTAAGGTCCAGAGGAATAGTGAGCATGGTGGGAAGTTCCAGGAACAGCCGCTCCCAGCTTTCCTCCTTCTTACCTTACAAGCTTCCTCCGGCTCTGCTGGCTGGGTTTTGGCTGTTCACCTCAGCGCCTGCTGGGGAAATGGGCTCAGCTGAAGGGCCCAGAACTCCTGCTGGGCTGCAAAGCCACCTCCATGGGGATGAGTCTCAGGACCCCCCTGTGGCCTCTGGGAAGAAAGATGCCCAGGCCTGAACAGGGCAAAGGGCTCTTTAATTCTTTCAATTAAAGAGTAGCGTGGCTCGGCGCCTATAGCTCAACCGGCTAAGGCGCCAGCCACGTACACCTAAGGTGGCGGGTTCGAATCCCCAGCCCGGACCCGCCAAACAACAATGACAGCTGCAACCAAAAAATAGCCGGGCGTTGTGGCGGGCGCCTGTGGTCCCAGCTACTTGGGAGGCTGAGGCAGGAGACTCGCTTGAGCCCAGGAGTTGGAGGTTGCTGTGAGCTGTAATGCCACGGCACTCTGCCCAGGGGGACAGCTTGAGGCTCTGTCTCAAAAAAAAAAAAAAAAAGAGTAGCGTAAGGCCCCATTATCTGGTGAGCCTCCAAAAATACAAAAGAAATATTCAACCCTTTCTTGCCTCTCTTTCCCCAGGATCTGCTTCTTGGTCATGTCCTCGTCCTATCTGGCATTCCGCATCTCCCAGCTAGAACAGCAGTTGAGCTTCTTGAATTGGGATGGCCCAGTACCTGGGCACAGGTGGGCCTTTTCTCTTCTTAATGCTTCTGGGATTGAGAGTTGTGGACAGGAGTCAAAAACTCGAGGCCAGGCTGTCTAGCTGGACTTGGCCCTCTTTTAAGCTGGTTTGATAGCCCTAAGCAAGGTTGAACAGTGTGTGTGGGGTATACAGATCCCACTCTGCCCCACTTTCAGTGTGGGCAGCTGGGGGAGAAGGGCTTCCCTGGCCCTTCTGCCCATGTCCTTCTGCCTTTTGGGCTCTCCCTGATTGGGGCATCTTTCCTGTGTGCAGGTAACAGCCACTTGGCCTTTGTTCCCACTCCTCCAAGAAGACAGCTCTGGGTGCTAAGTCTCCACCAGCCATTCCCTGGGTTTATGCTGCTGTTGTGCTGAGATTGAGTACGAAGGAAAATACTCCAGATCCCTCCTTCTTCTCCCCCCTCCTTCCTCCTCCCCCCAGTGAGTGATCTGAAGTACCTGTTTACAATATAACTGGCTCCTGCAATTTTTGGACTCAGAAAGCCAGATTCTTTGGAACTAGCTGAGGAATTCTGTACGCTAAGCTTCAACAACCACTTAAATGAGAAAAAAATTTAACCTGTCCTTGGAAACAGTTGTGGCACACAGGCAGAACCCTGGAGGCCACCTCAAGGGAAAAAGGCCATGCTTGGATACCTGGAGTGTGGCTGTCTGTCGTGTGGCTCACTCTGGTGGTGGCATCAGAAGCTAGAACGCAAACCACCAGTGTGGGCTCCACTATCCCCCAGCAGACTATGCTCTGAGGGACCTCTCTGCAGGGAGCCAGGGCAGAGGCTTGCCGAGGGGCCATGAGTACAAGAGGAGGGCTTAAGGCCAGGACTCCAGCAAGAGATGAATTTTCCTGCTCCTGGCTGAGGCTATGTGCTGGCCCTTCATGAGGAGGCTGGCTGAGCCTGGAAGATGCTGCCCGCAGCAGGGGATTGTGGCAGGGGTTGTAAAGAACAAAAGTCCCAGAATTCCATGTTCTCAGCTCTCACTTTCTGGTGAGACAGGTGGATGAGGGCCTTTGTGGCCACACATTTGGTACTGCATCTTGTCCAGGAATGCCAAATATTTTCAAGGTGTTTGAGGCCCTGGAAGTAGGGGATGGCAAGGGTAGAGGCTTTGAGCCTTGCTGTATACTTGCTAACTGCCTAGATCTCAGGGAGGCTTGATTGGGCAGACAGGTGTGTTGGTGTTGGGCCAACACAGGGCAGGGCTCACTCACATCACCTGCAGCCACAGAGGGTCCTCCACTTCATAGGATACATTCTCCATTAATATGGTGACATACGGTTTTTTTTTTTTTAACTGATTTAAATTCTCTTTGTGGTAGAAATAAGTTGTGGTTAAAAATGTCAAAAAAGAAATATATATGTCTGGTGACAGTTTTCTAGGTGGAGTTGCTGTAGTGCAGAAACCATGCCGGTGGGGTCTGTTTGATGCCTTTGGGAATAAGAGATGTAGGGGAGAAAGGTAGACAGGGCGGTGGTTTTGCCTTGGAGATTCCTCCTGCTTTGTCAGGGCCATCTTTATTCTTAAAAGCTTCTCCGTGCCCCAGAACTCTGGTCTGATCTCCCTGGGAGTCTCATCTGCTCAGCTAGTGCCTTTGAAGGGCCTTCGTGAGGAGGCCACGTGTACAAAAGGAAAGTCACTGGTGATGGGGTGGGTGGTGTCAGAAATAGCCAATTTTCTCCTCTTCAGACACTGACAGGTTAGTCAGGAGAAGAAATCCAGGTAGAAATTATTTCAGAGCCATGATTGTTCTATTTATCACAAACATAACTGAGGATCAGAGGGACTGCCAGGAGGTGACAAATCTCTGAGCTCAGATTGGGAGTCTTTTCATTCTCTCCCCATCTCAGTTCCTGAGATTAATCTTAGCTTGTGTGTGTGTGTGTTGCTTGCACCCAATCTATACGCCTCAGGTGAAACTCACTGTTCTGATCTCCTCACAGTGCCACACTGGATGAATGGCCATCCTGTCTTTTTTTTTTTTTTTTTTTTTTTTTTGAGACAGAGCCTCAAGCTGTCCCCCTGGGTAGAGTGTTATGGCATTACAGCTCACAGCAACCTCCAACTCCTGGGCTCAAGCGAGTCTCCTGCCTCCGCCTCCCAAGTAGCTGGGACCACAGGAACCCGCCACACGCCCAGCTATTTTTTGGTTGCAGCCGTCATTGTTGTTTGGCGGGCCCGGGCTGGGGATTCGAACCTGCCACCTTAGGTGTACGTGGCTGGTGCCTTAGCCAGTTGAGCTATAGGCACCGAGCCTTTTGCTTTGTTTTGTTTTGTTTTTGAATCAGCCCTTTTCATCAATCTTTTCCATATTTTCAGGGCAATAATCCTTCTTGCCTTCCCTGGTGGGGGCGAACAAATCCATTCTCTGAGCTTTGCTTGGTTGAGCCAGCAGCCACGAGAGGTGCCAATTCATGGGTAGAAGTGCCAAGGTGCTGGTGAACCTGGTTCCAGCTGCACCTCTGTTTCAGAAAGGGCAAGAGGTGTGCTGTGGGGAGGTTGGCTTTGGAGTCACGCCTGGGGCCAAAGTGGTGTGGGTATGCCTGTCCCCTATTCCTCTGTTTCTCTCTTTTGTTCCCCCCATCACCACCTCACCCCACCAGCCTGATCCCCTGGGGCTACTGTCAATTTTGTTGTGCTCATTTGTGAACTGTGCGTATTTATGCAGACTTGCTTGCATTGGCGGATGCTCCTTTAATTCCCTCAAAGTTTGGTTCAGCCATCCTTGGGTTGTTCCACTATGGCCTTATCCCTTAAAAATATTTTAAAATAAAATACGAGCTTTTTGTAGAGTCCTATGGTATGGAAAGTTCATTTTTATCCTTGACTAAAGGTAATCTTACTGACATACTCAGCACCAAGAAGAATGGCGCCTACGTCATTCCCAGAATCCAAAGTACTCTGCTAATCTCAAAGGACTTTAGCTGAGCTGACTTAACACCTCAGACATATGGGGAAGGGTGAAGATGGCCACAGCAAACCTCTCCAGCCTTCTGCCTCTGGGGGGTGGACGCTGGGAATGCATCCCCATTTCTCCTGGGCTATGAAGACCATGTGCCTGCTAAAATAGTACTGTGCTTCTGATTCAGGAATTAATGAATGGAACCTAAAACTAGGAGAAAACTCCTATGGCATTTTCTATGACTTAGAGCCTAGGTACGGAGATAAACTTAGAATTTGGGTCATATCACCTTTCTTCTTTCTCCCTATAATGCCCCCCCCCCTTATAGTAGTGATTCAATCATTCAATAAATATTATTGAAGTCAAGACTACACACCAGGCACTAAACTGGGAACTGGAGATGTAGCAGTGAATGTCAGGTGTCCCAATGTCTGTGTCCCAATGGTATTGTGTCCCAATGGTCCCAATGGTCTGTGTCCCAATGGTATTGAACTTCCATTCCATGTAAAAGTAAATTCCAAGTGAATATGTAAACAAACATGGTAATTGCAGATTGCAATTAAGTTCCGTGAAGAAAAGAAACAGTGATATGAGATAAAGAGGCAGATGGCTATTGATGAAGTGGTCCAAGAAAGTTCTCTCGAGTGACAGTTAAGCTGGTGCCTAAAATATAAGAAACCAGTCATGGGAGGCGCTGAGAAAAGAACATTCGTTCCTAGAAGAGAGACCAGCAACTACAAAAGGGCATGTATGTCCCTGAGGAACAGAGACACTGTGTGCATGTTAGCATAACAGGACACTAACCAAATGGGAGCATGACGTGAAAAAAAATTGGAGAAGCCAACAACAACCTACCAGATGACTCAATTGAAATTGGGCAAAGGGCCAGAAATGACATTTCTTTAAAGAAGACATACAAATGGCCAATGAAAAGACACTCAGCATCCCTAACTATTAGGGAAATACCAGTCAAAATCCAATGAGACACCACCTCCCACTCATTAGGATGGCTACTATCAGAGAAACAAAACCTAAGTGTTGGCAAGGATGTAAGAGAAGTAGAACTCCTGTGTGCCGTCAGTACGGACGTAAAACAGCATATCCAGTTTATAAAACTGGATGGCAGTTACCCAACAAAATAAAAATAGAATTACCATATGATCCAGCAAGTTCACTTCTGAGTCTATACCCAAAAGAATTGAAAGCAGGGTCTTGAATATTCGAACACTCATGCTCCCAGCAGCATTATGCACGATGACTGTAAAGTAGAAGGAATTCAAGTGTCCATCGATGGACAAATGGATAAACCAAATGTATATACATACAATGGAATTTTATTCAGCTTTGAGAATGGAGATGGTTTTGACACATGCTATAATATAGATGAACCTTGAGAACTTTATGGTAAGTGAAATAAGCCAATCCAAAAAAAGAGACAAACACTGCATGATTCCACTTATACCAGGTTACTTGGAATAGCCAAATTTATAGAGACAAAAAGTAGAATAGTGGTTTCCAGGGGCTGAGGGGAGAAGGAAATGAGACATTATTGTTTAGTGGGTATAGAGTGTCAGTTTTGCAAAGTGAAGAGTTCTGTAGATTGGTTGCATAACAATGTAAATTTACTTAACACTACTGAACTGTACACTTAAAAATAGTTAAGATGGGTTGGGCATGGTGGCTCATGCCTATAATCCTGGCACTCTGGGAGGCCAAGGCAAGTGGATCATCTGAGCTTAGGAGGTCCAGACCAGCCTGAGCCAGAGCAAGACCTCATCTCTACTAAAAATAGAAAAACTAGCTGGGCGTTGTGATGGGTGCCTATAGTCCCAGCTCCTGGTGAGGCTGAGACAGGATTGCTTGAACCTAGGAGTTTGAGGTTGCTGTAAGCTAGGCTCTAGCCACCTGGGCAGCAGAATGAGACTCTATCTCAAAAAATAATAATAATAAAATAAAAAAGAAGAAGAAAAAAAGATTAAGATGGTAAATTTTACCACCTATTTTTTTTCTTGCCTCAGCCTCCCAAGTAGCTGGGACTACAGGTGCCTGCCACAATGCCTGACTATTTTTTTTGTTGTAGTTGTCACTGTTGTTTTTAGCAGGCCTGGGCCGGGTTCTAACCCACCAGCCCTGGTGTATGTGGCTGGCCCCCTAACCACTGAGCTATGGGTACTAAGCCTTTAGCATCTCTTTTAAAACTTAAAGAAGTTGACATTGTAGGCAGGGGTGGAATTTGGATTTTATATACTCCCTGGGTTTTATAGCTCAGGTCTGACAGTTTAGGGTAGATCAGTGTTTGTTACCAGTGATCTTAAGTTCTTTGCTTTGCTAGAGGAAATAAACATGTGAATGTAAGATACAGAAAAATATGCCTGCTATGACTTAGAGAAAATCAATCCAATAAAATGCTTTA